CCAGGCTGCTTTGATGCAGATCCCAGGCCCCTTGGTGCTGGTGAGTGCTCTGCACTGAGCAAGCCTACAGCAGTTGCTCCAGCTCCCACACCAGCCAGTGGTAGGTCCAGCTCAGAACTCCTGTTTCCACCCCCAGAGCTGAGGAGCTGGGTGTTCTTCACCCCACAGGCCCGCATGCTACTCTGAAGTCTCCCCTGTTCGTCCAGGCATTTCACAGTGGAGAGAGTCTCATCGACAGACCAAGGGCGGCTACTAGGTTATTCCTCCTGTCATTCCTCCAGCACCTTCTGTAGACGGATTCATTAGCCAAAAAGAGCCACTTAAAGCACTTAAATTGAAAGCAAAAATTCTAAGGTTCTTCATCTTTTTTTTTAACCTCAGTTTTCTATTTATTTCCAGAAAGAGGGGGGAGGAGGAGGAGGAGAAGGAGGAAGGGGAAGGGAATATTTAGGAAACAAGAAAAACCCACACAAAACGAGGAGGGACCTCGATGCGAGAGAGACACATCAATTGGTTGTCTCCCGCACAAACCTTGACCCAGGCCAGGGATTGAGCCTGCAACCGAGGTCCGTGCCCTTGTCCGGGAATCAAACCCGTGACCCTTCGGTTGGGCGGGCTGACACTCTTACCACTGAGCAAAACCGGCCAGGGCATAAGGTCCTTCATCTCTGACCCATATACCAAGCATTCCTCTTTAACAGTTCAATGAAAAGGAATATGATCTTCAATCTTTCGCTGGTTAAGTTTTGCATGATTGGTTCCCAGCTTGATATAGAGCTTCAAAAAAATAATAATTATTATTAAGTGGGTTCCTTATTTAAAAGAAATCTTAGAAATGCAACACGAAAACCGGGAAGGCAAAGGTGCATTATTTGAAGGGGTCAGATGTGGAGGGTCACCCCCACTCCCCAAATGGCAGATCCAGAGACATCTCTGTGGTTCCCTTAGACACATCTTGGGTCAACAGAGGACTGTGAAGCAAGAGAGCCTTTGAGCCGTGTCCATCAATTCAGTGACTACTTAGAGCACTGGCGATGCCGCTGAGCTACATGCTGGGCGTGTGGAAATGAAAGGTAGTCCCTGCCCTCCAGAAGCTCAGAGGCCCCAGAGAAGAAAGAGTGGGTGCAGGTGTTTATAGTGCCGGCGATCTCTAGTCTTTTTCTCTTTATTTGTGGCTGAGGAGGCACAGCTGACATCCCTGGAAGAACGGAACACAATTTGTAACTCAGCAGAATTTGCTCCCCTCTCACTTGAGGATGCTCCCATGTCCTCCCCTGGAGAGCCTGAAACACATGGTGCGTGTCGGTGGCTCTGTGTGACCACCAGGTAGGCTTCCCAGAGAGGATCAGCATCTGTGAATTATTCACTACTTTTACATAGTTTCATTCCTATCTTTTATGTAAGCCAAATCCCAGACATAACAAAAAGAAAACGGTGCCATAAAGAGATTTTGTCTCTTATGATTTTTCTTTTGCAGAAGAAAAAAAAATCTAAGTGTCTTTTCATTGAGATGTTCCAGTGAGTTCCCTGTGTAATGTTAATTACCTAATGGCCCTGGCATGGTGTGCTGCGTACTCGTCCCTCACAATTAGTCAGCGAAGCACTCTAACATCCATTATCCCCTGTGGGACTCACCAGGGCTCTGTATGTGAAGCAATCAGCTAGAGCTTTATTTACAACCACTGAAACTCAAGGTCACCTTAAGCTATATGCCAAGGATCACACACCATGTTGCAAAGAGCGTGAGGTTTACAAACACAACAGCCCCAGGTTAGTCCTAGAATCCTATGTGACCACAATAAAATCCTGTACCTTCCGGGCTACAGTTCCTACATATATAGAAAGCAGCGAAGTAGTACTCAGTATGTGCCAACATTTTTTGCAACTCTCCACATATGTTTATTTGCCTAATATGACAATGCTATTATTACTCCCATTTTATAGATAGAAGGTAAGTAGCTTACTTGAGGTCCTACAGCTAATAAATGGAAGAGCAAGATATAACCTCATGTCAACTGGCTCTAGAGTCCATGTTAACCAATACACTCCAGTGACTCACATGTGATGAGAAGAACATGGAGTGAGACTGGTGATTGTAACAGTCAGGATAGTCCTGGTTATGCTGAAGGAACAAACATCTCCCAAATCTCAGTGCTTTAAAATAGCAAAGATTTATTTTTTGCTCTCATTTCCTGTCCACTATGGGAGGGTTGGGGGAGTAGCAGTGCACCACAATACATTGCCTCATTCAAGAACCCTGGTTAAGAACGCTCCATCTCCAAGGTCATTGACTGATGGTAGACACAGAAGAAAAAACAAAGGAGTGTGGTTAACCAGACTTCTAAAGTTTCTACTCAGAAGTGACTCATATCACTACTGCTCACATTTTATTGGCCAAAGTAACATGGAATATACAGGAAAGTGCAATCCTACTATGTACTTGGATGCTGCAGCACAAGATATAGTTGGTGGACAGCATAGGTGACTTCTCCCAATGACCTGCCTCAGACACTGAAATGCTCCTCTCCAATGCTGATGCTATTTCTCCTCTTGCTTTGTTAAATGTTTCCAAATGGCCCTGACTCTTTTCATCATCAGTGTATAAAGGGAACTGTATAGTTTTTAACTTATAAGTCAAAACCATGGCCCAGAAACTAGAATCTTCACCAGGGACAAGAATCGTCTCACCCTTTAGCTACAAGCATTCTTTCTAATCTCCTTGGCTTCCTTCCTAATAGCTAATTTATTTCAATATTTTTAATCTTCTCAACCGACATCAACTTTTTTGTTTAAATAACTTTGTATGATCTCACATCCTGTTGGGAACAGGAAATACAGAGATGCAGTTTGCACATGGAATCATTCATTCACTTACTCTTTC